TAGGGAGGCCAGGAGAGATACAGGCCGTGGGAAATGACCCACTGTCGACGAGCGTGTGGGTGTGGCGTGTGGAAGTGTGAAGCAGGAGGAGAGCCCAGAGAGAGGATCTAAGGTCAGATGGTATACAGTCATGAATGTCACACAAGGAGTGTCCTGGAGGAAGAGGAGGCTCGTGAAGAGTTTTGAAGAGAGAAAAGGTGTGCTGAGACCCATGTTTCGGGATCATGAGCTCCCTGACCTTTCCAGTCTCCTTGCTCTTGTGGCTGCTGCTTTCCCAATTCAAATGATGCATACTACAGTAAAACCTGTGAAAGCTGGAGCCTGTGTAAGGCAGAAACCTTTCAGAGAAGGAAAACGCAAATATTTCTCAATAACAGAGAGTGATAGAAAAGTATGGACTGCACCCTGTCAAAGGTGAAAAACTGGCAAGACCCGAAAAACAAGGCAGTCCTGTCGAGTTCCTGCTCTCACAGGTTTTACTGTATAATAGTCCTGAACTCTCCGAAACCAAATCACATCTGAAATTTTGGAGGAAAAAAAAATTTATCTCATTTTATCACCATATTAAACAATAATCCCCAAAATAGTCTTCAAGCCGAGTTCTTATTCATTTTCCTTAAGTTAAGGTAGAGAGCATTTTTGAGAAGGGAGATACAATATCTTGGGTGCAAAAAGATCTGGAAGCTTATATGAAAAATAGCTTATGAAACACTCTGAAATAATAATCACCCTTTAGAACGTGAGCCAGTAAATAGCCATCCTCACGGTGCCAGAGGGAAGTTAAGGGATAGCGACACCTCCACGCCCTCCCTCAGCTGGTAAGCGATGCTTCGGACCCACCTGCCGGTGGAAACCTCGCCTGCCTCAGGCTTGGTGACACGCGCTTGCTGACCTGTGCTCTTCCTCTCCAGCTCTCTGGCGGCTGCGAGCTGACGGTGGTCATCCACGACTTCACGGCCTGCAACAGCAACGAGCTGACCATCCGCCGCGGACAGACAGTGGAGGTTCTGGAGCGGCCCCACGACAAGCCCGACTGGTGCCTGGTGCGGACCACGGACCGGTCCCCAGCGGCGGAAGGCCTGGTTCCCTGCGGCTCCCTGTGCATCGCTCACTCGCGGAGCAGCATGGAGATGGAAGGCATCTTCAACCACAAAGGTAGGAGCTAGCGAGGCGGCGGAGGCGGGCGCCTGCAGGA